ACCCGCTCACATTCACGCTAACTAATTTTGGTTATATAAATATGTGTTTAGTAAGCACAGACCTAAAATACAATTAAAACTATAATAATAAATAAAATCTATATAATCAAAAATAAAATTTATGTCGTAAAGTGTGATAAATTAATTTCTTTCATATTCCTCGTTTTGTATTGATCTATCATTGTTACACGATATCAAAGATTGGTAATGTAAGTACTATATATTACAACTAATGTCTAACAACATTTGATTGTAAATAAAAATTAAAAAGGTGCTAGTAAAAACATTATCATGCAGATAGGTTTATTATTTAAATTAATTACAACTTTGATAGATTTTTTGTAAATTAACTTTCACCCAAATAATTTTTAATAATAATACGAGTATACAGTCGTTTTCCACATTGAGGGTCATCTTGTCAATTATTGTAAAAAAAAAATGTTATGGTTTTTTAGTTTTTGCGTTAGATAATCAAAATATAATTTATGAAAATAATTTAATTACAGTTGTTACTTAAATTACAATATAATATGAAATAAAATGTTTTATTTTGTATGTGTGCATAAAATATATCCTACAATGTAATATTTCATCTAATCTGATACTACAACTACCGTAATTTCTCAAAAGAAAAATACAGTATTTTTATCTCTCAGTTTTATCCATCAGACCATCAATGTAATAAAATAATCTAATTTAAATTTTTATTTTTAGTATAATTTTAAACAATATATCAACTATAAAACCTTTGTAATATTAAAATATCTGTTGAATAAAAAAAATTTATAGAAAATACTTTAATTGATTCAAAATAATCTTAGAGCAAACACTATTTTTTTTTTTTTTTTTTTTTTTTTTTTTTATTTTTAAAAATTTTTTAAAAAAAAAAAATTTTTTTAAAAAAATTTAAAAAAAAAAAAAAAATTATTAAAAAAAAATTTTTTTTTTTTTTTTTTTTTTTTTTTTTTTAATATTAAAATATTATTTAAAAAAAAATAATTGTATTTAAAAACTTAATACAGAAACAAACGACTTAAAATAAGCATTGAAAACATAAAATATCAAAAATCAAAATTAAAATCAAATACAAGATGATTGTTTTAGAGGCAAATACTCGTATATATTTTTTTTATAAAGTATTGACTTTTTTATTATACATAATTTGAGATCAATAAAAAACAACGTTTTGTAAAAAAAATATTTTTTTTTTTATTTTTATAGTTCTTATTTTTAAATTTATTTATTTTTATCTGCAATGCATCATATATTTTATTTTATTTTATATTCCGAAGTAAATTATTTGTTTACATATTATATAATTTATAAAAATAAAATTTTAAATCGATTGTTTATACTTTAAATTAAGTACTTATTTAAAGTTTAGTTGAATAGTGTGGAGTATCAAAATGATAAATATTCTGATGGTTTAAAATTTGAAATTAAAAATGTATGCTATCATAAAAGTTGTTAAAATCTTAAAAAATTAAAATGGTCGAAAAAGGAAAAATTTAATTTATTTAAAGAAAATGTTTTTTTGTTATGACGTTCAAAAAAAATGTTCTCAAAACCGTTAATACATTTCGATATATGGTTTTTGACATTTAAAATAATCGTTTTTTACAATATAGGTATTCAAGTAAGAACGTAGTTATCACTCGTGCGTGTTGGGAAAACTTACAATTAAACAATCATAATGCACACCTTAATGCTTAATGTTCTCCAAACACTACAATATAATGATATTATTATACGTGCAAAAGCCACTAAGGATTGAAAGTCATCTTTTTATTCAAAGCCCATTACGTGCTCGTAATTTGGTAAAGAACAATGTCTTCCAGTACATTGGGTCTAAGGGATCCGCTCGACCCATTAAGCTTTTGTCCCATCCCAAAGGGTGCTGTTGATTATTTTCAAACTGTTGCTCGTGAGAAAAAACACACAGCACATTACAACATCGTTATTTTTATCACGTAAAGCAAATATCTAGGCAAAGAAAGAGGAACTTGTTTTTATTCATGCGGTTTTCATCCGTTTTATTTTATGATTTTGCATGGTTATAACACAAACTACTATTGTTAAAATACGTAAAATTTACTTAGATAACTATCCTTGATAGATTTACCAAAATTTTGAAGTTAATAGTTTATAAATTATATTCGGTAGAAATATTATTAAATGGTTATCTGACCACAATTATTGTACATAGTTTTATAATCATTTAGGATTGGTTTTTAGTTTTTTTCTTTTTAATATACCAAGTATACGTATACAAATTATTAAAATTATAGATAATTTTATAAATTCATTTTTTTTTTTTTTGTGGCAGTATTAATAGATTTTAAGTAATTCAAACTTTAAATACTTATGTATAAAATTTAATTTTAAAACATTATAATAAAAAACTATTAAACTTGTATTAAAATTTCAAGTTTTCTGAATTGAAATTATAAAATATTTCAAAAATCAATGTATAACTTTTTATACTTGAAAGTTTAATTGCTGGTCTTTTAATAGTCTCAATGTTTAGAAAATGTATAACACTTTCAACTCTACGCAATTATAAAATAAAATATATATTCATTATAAACTGTTCTAAAAAATTATTAATGAAGCTTAAGCTAGACATAAAAAAATTAATGTCAAATCAAAAAATTAATTTCAAGTTAGAAAATTAAAGGCACTTTCAATTTTTTGTCATCGCGACTTAATAAATCACAAATTTATTTGAATTTGAATTTAATTATTTTTGGTATTGTAGTAAAGTAACTTATTATGTACTTTGAAAATTACATTATTATTATAATATATATGTATATATATATAGGTAAATACTATAATGCTACAAAATCAGTAATTAAAATATTTAAATTAATATAATATTAAATTCTGAGCAGAAATATGAATGTATTATTGGCTTAAACAATATGTGATATTTTTTGTGTTTGAAGACACTTTTTTAATTGAAAAAATAATCCGATCATTACTTTCTAAAAAGTTTTTGATGTTAAATTGATCTAATTTGTACTTTGGGAATTAAAACTAGAAATTTTCCTATACTTTTTTAAAATTATCAATAAAAACCAAAAAGTAAATACGAATATTTTTTTAAATTTTAATATTATTACTGAAACAATCATTTGATAATCATTTATAATCATAATTTGAATATTTTTTACTCAGATTATTTTTGATTGTACACAATGATTTATCATTGAATTTAAATTTGATGCATCTATTACATTGTAACCATCTCAATGACCCGGTACACTCAACGCATATGGCATACAGCAGAGTGGTTATCTACTTGTCGCTCAAAACTTTCAGTTATTATGTCATTATCAAAAATATGTCTATAGAAGGAATTTGAAACTTTTCAACATCACATTTATTATTATTTATTTAATACTATGAAAGTTTAAAAATATTAAGATTAATTCAAGCCACTAATATCATATTCTATTGGCTACTCGCACTGATCTTCAGTACATATTGGTTTTTTAAAACTTAATATCGAGTGAGTTTTAAATTAATAACAGCTAGTAATATTATATGAAATAATAAAATAACAACCTATATATGACATAAATATTATTTAATTTGTTTTGGTAAAAATTATTTATATATTTTAATTTAATAATTTGATGTTTTCATTAAAATTTACTTAACCAAGTTAAAACTTAAACTCGTTCATAGAATTTTCCTAGCTATAGTTAAAACTGGTTTTTTTTTTAATATATTGCGTGTGTGCTTATACTGTCTTCACTATTTTTTGATTACTATTGACGACTTCTAAAAATGGAAAGATTTAAGTACCAAAGTTGCTAGATGAAACTTCTAAAGTAATGATTTCTCTATATTTATTAGATAGTTTAAAAAAACTGTGTTTGGATATCAGAAAAAAAAAATATACGTATGTCAATAAATATAATTATTTCTAATTATTACGCTCCAAGTTTTAAAAAAACAGAACACACCACTTGCACGATAAACATATTGTTATATAATAGCAATGTTGTTTTAAAAGTTCATTAAAATTTAACTAGATAACTATAAAATCTGAATAAATTTTTAAGATTTAATATAAATGTAATACCACTTTCGGAAAATTAAATAAATATAAAATGTAGAAATTATGAAATATCATCAAAATATAAATGTATTTATATTCTATATTCTAAAAATGATTAATTGTTAACTGTAACTACTGTTTTTTTGTACATTTTTTATATAATTAATAATTATCTATTGACTATTCTAAATTGTTTTGTATAATTTAAATTTTATTTTCATGTATTTAACTTAACATCACTATCACAAGCTAATACGTACTTATAACCTATAGGTGATATTGAAAAATAATCAAAATATTTGTAATGTGATTTATTTATCTTAATATGTTGATGTTATTTGTTAAAAAAAAAAATAATAATAATAATAAATAAATAAATATAAATTTATTATTTTTGTTTTACGATGTATAAAAACTAGTATTAACAAATAAGTAAAAATAAGAAATGATCATTATTATTACACTATATTTAGTTTATTTTTTATCGTTTTGAAGTTTTATTTCTTAGATAAATTGCATGTATATTAAAATGCCTTAAGGCATAAAATGTTTTTTTCATTTTTCTCAAGTTTTAATCAAACTTTTTGGCTTTTGAATATATACCACAAAGCGACAAAGCGTTATATTTGAATGAGTCATGGAAAAATAAATATTTAGTTGAAAGCTAAAATTCTATTATTATAAATAGCAACGAAAAATCAAAAAAAAAATAATTCCCATCTTATACCCATTTTTATAATATACATCAAAAGGAAAATTATTATTTAGTACACCATGCATCTATTTTAAACTTTTAGGTTAAGTTGAAATGCGTTATTTTTCATTTAATATATATATATATATATTTTTAAATTAAGTATAATATAACTTAGGCTATGTGTATCCAAACATTTTACTATTTATTGTAAAAAATAAAATATTCTACACCAACCTGATTAAAATCCACAAAGTTCGTCATCGAGTATGGGTTATCCGATAGAATATGCTTTATTGACAGAGCTAGGTTCGCTGTGGCTCATGTACAGTATTCTGAATACATTCAAAGAATCGCGTATGGCCGATGTAGGGAGAAAGTTAACGATCCGGTCGGATGCTTGTTTTGAGCTTCCCCCACTCATACTCCCGATTTGATTTCATAATAATAATTCCGTATTATTATTATTATTTCATAAAAAAATATATCCACATGTATCATCGTAATGATAAATTTGTTTCCATACAGAAATGTTTTTAAAATTAGGGTCATCGTGTATAATGGAATGTATCACCGCCACCCTATAATAACAATCATCTTGAAACTTTCGGTCTATACTTATGCGTTTAATGGTTAGTTAAAATAGAAAAACTCACTTATCTTATTTAATAGAAAGTCGTTTTGTCTATGTTTGAGTATACTGTACATCTTTTCGATTGCAACACGGCTTGCACAAATGCAAAAATGTTAATAGTATACGCCACGAAAAAAAAGACTTGGAGTTAATGTATTGAAAATTACCGACAGCTTGCAATAGAGTTATTATCTATTATACCTTCTGGTTAAACTATCTTGTCCCATATGCCAATATCACTAACATTCATTGAATTTTTCTAAAAATCACACATAAATAAAAATAAATCTATGATAAATATTATAGAATTATTATAACCTATTTTAATTTTTATTATTAATATTTAGTAATAACTAATAAGTAATATACACGTGAAACTTATAATAACAATACCACAGTTATATAATAATATGATAGTATTTTAATCATAAACAAATAACGTTTATTCTCATTAAAGATATCGATTGTTAATGCATTAAAAATATTAATTATTTCAAAAATAGAACTTTCTAATCCATTGCTAGAATTATGTGTAGGTATATGGCATTATTTTTTTGTATAGATAATGAATTTGTCTAATAAAGAAATGTTGAGTATCATAATATACTAGGTACTTAATTATCAACATTTTTAATAAGAAGTGATAAAAGCATGAAATGTTTATTCATCAATATTTAACCTCCTGGAGTTTTTAATAGTAAATTTCCGATGTAATGTGACTTCTTTTGTTACCTATATGGTATAACAATCTTGTAGCTTATTGTCTACACTTCACACGATAAAATAAAAATTATAATCAAAGAACCTATTTAGGTTTTTATTTTTACGTTTCTAATAAATTTTTTTAAATAATTCTTATAGCATACACAATACTAATTATATTAAAGTAATTAAACATATTAGCTAATGGATTTAAAAAATACTTTATTAGTTTTATTTATATCGAATACAATATCATATCGATAATATAACTTATATTAATTACAAATTATGTTTATTAGTATTAAACCAAAGAAACCTAACTAAAAATGTATTATAAATATAATATTTTTTATGCAAATTTGTTCAATAAAGTTCGGATAAAAAATAAGTCAAGAACATTTTCACGCAAAAGGTTAGGTAAACTCGTAAAATATAACAGGTTATTATAAAACAAATATTAGTATTCATAACTTCTTATCTATTATCATACTTAATAATAAAATAAATATTTTCTAGCTTTATTATACTATCAAAGAATGGGAATCTGACATTGAATTAAAGTTACTCAATATTATATAAAATAAAAGTTAGAGAAAAGTATAAATACTATGTTGTAACAGCCAACATACCTATGCACCCATAGAATATAACTACGCATGCAGAAGAATATACTTATAAAACAAACACACATATACATGCGCACATTAAAACTTACATATATTGTATTAATGTATTATGATGTGTACGTTTTATATTATATAAGCGTGTGTGAATCGTAAGTGTGAGTATGGTAACATACGAGTAATTTAATACAAAGGAACAAAAAAACAATTTTCATTCTCTTGCTTATTCGAATCCTTCATTCGAAATAATACACAAAACGTAATATTTTTGCTTATACATAATATATATATATTATGCGTATGCATATGTCGAGTATATCATCATCGGTGTTATAACTATTCATTTTTTAATATTTTAAAGTATAATTTTTACACTTGTTTCCAGCAGACTTAAGAGTAATTTAAATAATTAAAGTTGAAACGTTTTATGCAGACTGTATGCATGAAAATTGCAACAATGATTTGCAATTATATTAATGTATGTTATTTTTTAGAAAAATTATTATTAAAATATACAAATTCTACACACAAAGTAATCATGTTTGTATTTATTCATTTATTATTTTAAAAAATACATTACATTTGATGTAATCAAATTAAATTAAAATATATTACATAGTGTTATTTTTATTCTATTTACAAGTTTTTAAATTATGTACGTATAATGTATATAGAATATAGATATTATATAAGATTTTATAGAATTATGTTATCTTTTTAAATTTGTATTTATAAATTGTGTTATATATTATGGTCATTTGAATATTTCATTATAAAGAATAGATAACATTTTTTTTATACCTATTCGTTATTTATTACTAACAAATTATCTACTTAAAATAAAAATATCCAATTATCCAATATTTTTTATTTTTTAGATACAAATAATAAAAAATAAATACTATTATTCTATGAACCTATTAAATTTATATAAATACTCGAATAAATAACTAATAATAAATTATCGTAGAAATGGTAACTCATCATACGTCACATACATATCAGATAATTAAATGGGAATATTGTAAAATCATCAAAAACCATTACATTTGAAAAAAGATTACATGCTGACCTTGCAACCGCCAATATTTATAAAAATATACTAAATGTATTTTTGTAACTCATGTGGGAAAAATATTAAATTACTTCAATATTTATAATTAGAGTTAATTTTTTTTATGTATGCTGACACTTAGCATGATTCTTTATCAAAAAGTATTTAAAAGCCAAAAAACCCTTGTCATTGTAAAAACAAAAGCTGCTCATTGTTTGTTATCAAATCATTTAAATTATCTAAACATGAATCATTATACAGAAATAAATAATTAGGATATAAAATAATTAATACCTTATTAAATGTGTGGGTTGTAAATATATTGTAAATCTATAGTTTATACTGTTTACGGCTATACCTATAGTTTATGACTTTGTAACGCGATATGCTTTTATTGTATATCTAAGAACATCTATTTAATTCGAATTTCAAATAATATTGACTTAATACAGATAATTAAGTCATCATATCAATTATAATCCACTTAAATACATATATACAATTGTTTAAATATATTTTTTTTTAACTTAATCTATTTTGCTCATTTCTCGACAATGTATATAATATTAGATTATTTAATCTCTAAAATAATACAAGCATTATATACTTAAAATATTTCATCAGTTTTTCGTAAATAAAAACTACGAAAAATGCTTATTGTATTGTAACTGAGTCGAGTATAACAATAGGCAAGAATGTTATGTAGCAATAAAAAAAAACTGAAACGTAATTACATAATAAAATCTTATTAACTCATATTTAATTAAATATTATTAATTGGTGTAAGTAACTTCAATCATATAACACATTTACTAGCACAACAAATCTTAAAATTATGCTAACTAAATAATTATTATGGAATTCACTTCTTATCATCATCATGAGTCTTAAAAAAATATTATTCTACAAATGTGAACATTAAAATACTAAATAAAAAATTATTTTTTAAGTTAACTCTTCAACAACCATCAATTCATTAGTAACCACTCAGCTAATTTTATGATTTATTACAGTCAAACAATTATATAGTTGGTTATAATTAGAAAAAAATAAGAAACACCTATGATTTGTTTTACTTTTTAACAAATATTACGTTTAATTACATAGCAATTTTTTTTTACCTTCTAAATTTTTAGATAAGGTTTAACCTAAGATAAATGTAATTGTTAAATAGCATGTCTAACATAAGAATGGAAAGTGAAGTGTATGGTACCTAAATTGTAATTATTATAACGTACATTTCCATAAGAATTGGTAAAATAATAAACGAAAAAAAACTGTATCAAAATATTTACATGTATACATTTTATACTATTATTTACTACATATCTATTTATCATGATAATATTTTCTTGTAAATATTTATAGAAATTTATATTCCCATGTAAGATTCTTAATTATTATATTTAGTGTTAAGTATAGTAGGTACATAAATATGTATTTGTAATTCGTATACATCTTAATAGATTGACTGTCATAAGATCCCATGCTGGATCGCACCTCGGTGTATCCTGACTACCAAAGGGTTTTTTAATGTGCTCAAAAAAAAAAAAAATATCAAAAACAATGTTCATCTATCTATCTCAAAATTTTTAGATATATTTTTAAGGCGTTCCAAGGGTTATTTTATTCTTTATGGATGAAATCCAAAATAGGATCTCATGGCGTTGGTGATACTATAATAATAAGTTTTATACTCATACAAGATGAGATCCAAATTAACTCCTCAAAATCTGTACATCACAGATATTATATTATAAATAAATGTAATAAATTATATCATTTGCATGTATTTTTATAATATAGGTTCATGGATTTTATGTAAAATAATAAAATTATAAACTTATCTACTAATAATATAATGTGTACTATGGTTTAGTTTTTAAAACACTTAACAAATTGCAATGTTTATTTGTAGAAAAAACAAATTTTAAAATAACAATATAAATTTAACACCTTTTAAACTAAATATAATATTATAACTTATATCTTATAAGTAACATGTCTAGGAATATTGAAATATTTGACAAAACTTTTATAATAATTATAAAATATGGCATAATTACATTACATAGCCACATAGGTAATAATAAAATTAAACATATTTACTATTGTCATATTACGTTATTAAATCGTTATCGTTTATTATGATAACAATAATGGAGGGAATTTTATTACTGATACCAAGAAGTCTTTTACACTTTTACCGATATTCCTACTATTCACCTTAATGTAACTTGTTAACGTTTTAAAAGCAATAATTGAGTCAATTAAAAGGATATTAAAGGTTATTTTAATAGAATAAACAAAAAAAAATTATAATAAATCAACAAAAGACCATAATTTCTTGCTGAAACTACCAAATAAAACTAGAAAGACGATAGAATCTAAAGGAAA